CAACGCTCCCAGGCCAGGTCTTGGCACGGCTGGTCCTCTCCCACTCGGCTCTCACCTCCTCAGTGGGGCCTTCCTGGACCCCCTCAATTTAAAGAAACCCCCCAACCACTTCCTACGAATACCCCGTTTCACTTCATAGCACTTGTCCCACTTGAATTGCCTTGGCACGTTTTTCATGCATTCCAGGGACACATATCACGAGGCTGCCACACGCCAGGGCGGGGCAGAGCCTGAAAACAGTGGAGACCTGCCCTCTCAAGCTTGGTTCCACCAGGGCTGCCGGACACACCCTGACACACTGGAGAATAAGCAAGAACGTCTCTGCGTGTACACGTGCTCTTGACCTGGCTCCCTCCTTGCCCCTGGGAGCCCCCCAGGTTGTCTCCATGAAGTCGTGAGGACTCACTACATCCCTAACGCTAGCGGGGCTGGGCACTTAGGGTACACGTGGATGCTATTTGTTGACTGGATAAATGTGGGAGTGAGCGAGATGGGCAGGCAGGCCCGGAGCTCTGTGATGCCTCCTCGCACGTGGCCTCAGCTGGTCCGTTTGCCAGACGGGCCCTGGGAGGCCCAGAAGGGAGTTCCGTCTGAGGTCGCAGGCAGTGAGCTGCTTGCAGGGCCGGACAAGACCCAGGGATCCCAGACTCCTCAGTCCTTCAGTGAGTATTTACAGAGTATCAGGCACTGGGCGTACAGGATGTGGAAGAAGAGATGTTCTCATTGCCTGGGGAGACAGACGGTAAGAGGAGGTGCTGAGATGCACAGAGAGTAATGCCAGGTAATGAGGAGGGTGCGGTGGCGGGGAGAGGAGGCCGGAGAGGAAGCCTGGGAGGGAGGGCGTGTCTTCTTGGGGTGGGTGCTGATCTGAAGGAGGCCTGGGGCCCGCCTTACTGAGAAGCCGAGATGGAGCAAAGACTTGAAGGGGAGGAGGGAGCGGCTGTGGGCTCTCTGGCGAAGAGTGAGGCAGCGGGAATGGCCTGTACAAAGGCCAAAGGTCGGAGGGCGGGAGCAACAGGAAGCCCAGGAGGTAGCATAGAGGAGGTGGAGGTCAGGTACGGGGGTGCCAGAGCGAGGAGGGCCTCTGGGCTGCTGTGAGGAACCAGCTTTCCCTGTCCGTGCGAGAGAAGTCTGTGGCCGGTCTGGGGATCTGACTTGTGGTCTCCAAGGTGGGCACAGCCGGACAGGAAGTGGGCAGGGGGGAGGGCAGAGAGGCCAGCTGGGGCCCCAGTGACATGACAGGCTTGGACCAGGAGTTACCGGTGGAGGTGAAGGCTGTCCCCACTGAGAGGGGCTTCTCATGACTCCACCAGGCCCCTCCTTTCTCAGAGCCTCCACCTGGGTTAGGGTCCCCAGTGTGCCAGTGTGGCTCCCCCCAGGCCCTGCTGTCCAGAACACCAACAAGTGCCCGGCAGGGAAGGGCAGCCCCAGGCCCAGGCCTTCTAAGGGGGAGCTGAGCCATAGGCCTGGGGCTCCCTAATAGGCGAACAGCTAAGGTTTCCTGTTCAACGCAGGGGCTGCCTGAACCCTTCCAGCTGGACGGGGCCCCAGGAGGAGCCAGGCTCCATGAAGCTTGGCAGTAAGGGAGGAAAAGGGGGCCACCCAGGTGAACTTGAAAAGGCCCTCAGAGGTGAGCGTCTGGCCCAGGAATGGGAGACAGACCCAGAGAGGAGGTGCAGTTTGGCCAAGTCCACACAGGGAGCTGGTGGGACCCCGGGTGGTCAGTTAGCCTCTCGGAGACAGCATTTCTGTATCTGCAGCACCATGAGGCAGGGACATTTGTCTGTTTGGTTCACCGATGTATCCGTGACACTTGGAATATTGCCTGGCCCAGAGCAGGTGCTCAAGAAACATTAGTTGGATGAGTCAATCTGTAAAATGGGCTGATTACAGAGCTACTGCCTAGTAGCAGGTGAGGCTCAGACTACTGCTTGGTGTCAGACCCCTAGGAGGCATTCAGCAGGTGGGAGCTGGTCCGAAACCTTTGCGCAGACTGGTTTTCCAGCTCTCTATGACTGGTAGACCACGGTGGGGCCCCAGGAGGAAGGAAAGGCCTGGAGCCCTGCCCCCAACCCTCCCCAGCCTCCGTGCTCAGGCCTAAGGGTCCCAGCTGAGCCCAGGGCTCCCCTCTGCTTACTGAGGCCCCCAACAAGCACATGGTCGAGGCGTGAGATGGTTCCTGGGCCCCAGGACCCTGCTGGCAGGATGGTCGGGAGCTGTGAGGGCTACCTGCTCCTGTCCCTTCTGAGCCCCAGATGGGGACGTGGACTCGTGGCTCTGCTCCACCGGCCACTAGTGCCCCTGGCCAGGAGGGCTGACCCTCCTGACTCTACCTCCTTCAGACCCAGGGCCTGAAACAGCCCCAGCCCCACTCCTGCCAGCCCCCGCGCCTCTAGCTGAAGGACTCGTTTCCCCAGGGGGCTCAGAGGGAGGGTCCCATGGGGCAGCAGCCCCTGAGGTCACGGTGGCAATTCCTCTGCCTCTGGGAGGACTTGCCCAGTGGACTGGGAGAGACTGGAGGAGGGGTGGGTGGGTACAGGCCGTCGTTCCTGCAGTCCTTTCTAATTCCCCAAGGTGCAGCCCAGCATTAGCTGGGCCCTCCCCCGAGGCCGCCCAGCCCTCCTGCGGCTCTGTAGCTTGTCATGGCCATGGCTCATGGCCGCCCACAGCCTCCCGGGCAGGATCGGGTTTCCCACCGGTAGGAGCTCTCCCTCCATCACCTGCCGCCAGGGAGAGCTGAGCCCTTGTGAATAATTCACAGTGTTTCACAGCAGGCCAGGGAGGCTCAGGAGAGCGGGGGCAAGGGCAGCCTCTAAAGCTAGGCTGCCTGGGTCCCCTGATTGCACCCTGCAGCCTGGGGCAGCCTGCACCTCTGCCCCTCCCCAGCTCCCAGCCCCCCGCCAGCAGGCCCTACCTCAATGCCTTGGGGGGCAGGAGTCTCTACTTCCGAGTTAGGGTGTGGGCACTGGCCCCCAAAGCCCCCCGCCAGCAGGCCCTACCTCAATGCCCAGCACCCCCTCCTGCCTGAGCCCAGCCTGGCAATCACACAAAAGTGCCTCCTTATCAGCCAGGTCACGCGTTGTCACTGTGGGAATGGAGCCCCAGGCCTCTGTCCGCTTCCCTGAGATTCACGGGGGGCTGGTGGCTCATCAGCCCAGGCCATCTGGCCACAGAGTCGGTGCCAGGGCCCAATCACGGCCAGCACCACAGCCTGGCCTGGGAGCACCAGGGTCCCCCGGGCCCTGAGCCTTTGAGGGTGTCCCCAGCACAGCCAGAGCCTTCCTAAGGCTGGAAGCCCAGCCCATGGAGGCTCATCCTAGGCCCCAGACTTCTCAGGGAGGAGGGACTCAGGGGCCAGGCTGGGGCTTCACCCCTGCCCCCCACCAGCACTTCCCGGGGCGGGGCAGAGCCCCCTCAGTTGACACCATTGGAGCTAAGTTGGCACGGCCACCAGCCTGACTTCCTGGGGCCCATCATGCGTGATGGGGGAGGCCGGCAGGTGCGAGAGGATGACCACCGCCCGTCTCTCTCCTCTTAGGGCCCCAGTGTCCTCCGTGATAAGTGATAAGTGAGGGGGTGGTGTCAGAACCACCTAGGTGGGGGGTGGGGACACGCACAGGGGCAGCGCCCCAGCCCTTACCTGGGGAGTCTACGTCGAGTCTGCGACCAGACCCCCAGGGTGCTGATGGCTGCACTCGAGGGTGTTTGGGGTCTCCTCCTTGAAATCCCACTGATTTTGGTGTGACCCGGACCTTAGCTCGTCCAGGAGCAGAGGGTTCGCGCCAGACTGGTGCCCAGTGGCCTCTGGCAGGGATGGCTGTGAGGAGACCCCCGGCTGGTCTCGCACGAATCAAACCAGGGAACCCCTTGCTTAGCAAGAACGAGCCAGCTCAGCTGTCCTGGTCCCGGCCTGGGGGCTTTGAGCTGCTCTGTATCCACAGCAGCGTGCCTGCACCCAAGGGGCTGCCAGACGCAGCCACCCTGCCAGCGGGCCACGGGGCCAGGCTGGCCCCCTGCCGCTCCCTGGTGCCCAGTGGCCGGGCAGGCGCCCTTAGGAGTGGAGCCAGGGGTGAGGACAGACCCTCCCGCCTTGTGAATGCTCTCCTCCTGAGGCTGGGTCCTCTGTCACCACTTATTTCCCAGGTACCCCCTTGAACCGATGAAGGTCACCAGGCAGAGCCCCAGTCTGTTGGGTCCCCAGGGCCACCGATGTTCCACTCCCTCAGACAGGGTCTGGGTGGCTCTCCCCCAGGACCCCTGCCTCCCTCTGGGTGCACCTGGCTCCCTCCCTCCCCCAGGACCCCGTCCCCACGACTCCTGTGCTCTTCAGTGAACCCCATTCTTCTGCACACCCCACCCCACCCTGGGGCATGCCCAGCCCACTGCTCAGCTGCGTTCTCAGACCAGCCGCTCGCCTTGCGAGGGCCGGGGAGGTTCGGGAGCCCCATCCCCCTGGGGAGCGGGAATGAGCTGGCCGGCCACAGGAGAGGACAAGCTGCCCTCTGACAGGCGAGGGCTGAGGGCCCAGGAGGCAGGGTGGGGGTCTGGCAGGGGCCGTCTCCCATCACTGCTGGATAACGGACGTGGCTCCCCCTCCTTCTTGACTGGGGGTCAAGGAGATGCTCTTCACCCCTACGCCCCACTTAGGACAGTCCTGCAAAGTAGCACAGGTCACAGCCAGAGAGCCGCCTGCTGCAGGCTGTAAGCATCCTGGAGACGAGCGAGGGGTCTGCGTGCACAGCCGCTGCAGCTCAAGTGCAGCTCGTACTGGGGGAGTGTCTGCTTGCAGGGCTCTGGGGCACGTGTCTGCGGGCAGCCCATCAGGAGGGGAGAACCTTCGGCCTCGGTGGGAGCTGTCTCTGGCCAGGGCCCTGGCCATGGGGATGGCCCAGAAGCACTAATTCCCCCGGTGTGCTGGAGGGGCGCGGCCGACTGCAGGCGCCCCCCCAAGAGCCCTGGCCCGCCCCACCCAGAGGCCCCCTGAAGCGGAGGGTCCTTACTCAGGGTGGTGGCCGACGAGGAGCCTCAGGGAGGGGAAGTCTCCTTTGGCGGCGGCGTAGTGAACAGGCAGGGCGCCTGTGTCTGTGGCCACGGTGGGGTCCCCACCGCCGTGACGCAGCAGCCAGTTCACCACCTCAGGGTGGCCGAAGCGGGCAGCCAGATGCAGGACTGTGGCACCAGAATTGTCTCTGTCCTGTGGGAGGAGAGCCCGTTAGTCCTAAGGCCTGGCCCTGCCCCCATCCCTCGCTCAGACCGCGTCCTGCATCCCACCAGCCGCTGGGGCAGTTCTGTCCTCAGGCACCTAACTGGCCCTCTTTGAAGCTCAGTCCATAGCGGCAGCACGGTGCCATCCATGCTGGGCTTTCTGAAGCCTGCAGGGCACGCTGTCATCGCCCCAGCAGGAGCACCTGCCTGTCACCCAGGTGCTCAGGGGACACCTGAGGGAACCGCTGGGCCAGGAAGAGTGGGCTGTTGGGCCCTGCTGTCAGGGGTCGGGGGAGCAGCCCCTGTGCCCAACCCCCTGCCTCCTCCCTCTCTTCCTCCCCAGGTCTCACAAGGGGAGAGGCCTCCGGGTTGACGCATCTCCAACGACCCAACCTCAGTGCAGAGAACTGCCCCACCGCCAGCGGACTCCCTGCTCCCAGCCCCCCGCCCCGAACAGGCTATGTCCTTGCCTCTGGCTACTGGTGGGCAGGGCCGGGGCAGTCAGCCAGTGGTGGTACGTGTGGGATAGAGGCAGACCCTGGGGAGGGCTTGGGCAAGACCCCTCCCAGGCACCCCAAAGGGGACGGGTCGATGGTTTAGGCCCAGAAGTGTTGAATGAGTCTTCCGTGAACATCCAGGTGTGTGTGTCTCTTGCGGGAGGGGGTTGGCCAATGCTGTTTATGTGACCTGCAGGCCAAGACGGACAGACACCCAGAAGGCTGGACTCAGAGGCTGGGAGTTTGGGACAGTGGGCACCGGTTCTAGAACAGAATGAGCTCCCAGCACCAAGCACGTGGGGTGACGGAGAGGTGGGCAGGGAGCTGGGCAGGGGCACGGGGAAGGGGGTGGGGCGGCCGTGGAGGCGGGCACGGGTTACCGGGGTCAGAGAAGGGAAGCTGCTCTGCACGCCCACCCCCACCCCCGCCCAGAGAGCGGGCACCACGGGAACAGGTGTGGCCGAGGCAGGGGGTGCTGGAGAGACCCTGAGCTTAAGGAAGGTGAATCTCAGTAGCATGAGAACCTCTGAAGCTCCTCTAAGAAATGCAGGGAAAAGAGGGGACAGAGGGAACGGGGCCCAGGGACACGACGGGGAGGTCACGGTTAGGGGCTACGGGGTGGGGGGCAAACAGACCGGCTGTTGGGCAAGGAGAGAGGCAGGGAGGAGGGGGGGCAGAGAAAAGAGTCTCGAGGGAGCGGAGGACGATGCTGAGACTCCTCTGTGTGTGGAATGCCTGGGGAAGGCCAGAGACAGGTGCAGTCTGTCCTCCTGAGCCCAGGGGACAAGGCTGGCTAGAGGTGACCCAGACAGGCCCATACTGAAGTATGCCCTGCGCCCCAGCTCTTGAGAAAGGCCCTCACTTCCCACTGGCCTTGGGGATTGTGGGTCTGAGGCCCCAGGGGGTCCTGCTGGCTCTGGGCCTCTGGGTAAGTGTGGCAGTAAGGAGAGAATCACAGGCCTATGACCTGTCTCCGAGCTCCAACAGCTACGTAGGCCCCAGGAGCCTCACGTGCTATGGCCCGCACCCTAAAGCTGCTTATCTCCCTGAGCTGAGCAGGGCCCCGGATCTAGGTCATCCTCCCCCTACATACACACTTCGCCCCCAGCACCCAAGCCCGCTGGGGCAAGAGAGTGGGAGACTTGATAAGCTGGGCACAAGGTCGCCTGCTCCTTGTGCTGGGGAGGCTTCTGGCCAAGGCTGGACACCGGGATCGGGGAGGCATGCCACCTCCCAAAAGAGTGGGCAGGGACCATGTGCCAGGAACTCCTGATAACAGAGCTAGCCCGGAGATATGGGGCCGGGCCATCTCCCAGGAAGGGTGGGATGGGAGGCCTGGCCATCCTGAGGCCAGGAGGTGGGGGGATGGGGTCTGGGCACTGCCAGGACACAGCCAGCGAGCTCAGAGTCGGCCCTGCTTCCTCTCCTTCTGTAGCCAGTTTACACAGCCGTCCTTGTACGTTGGAAAGCAGTTCTGTTCCTCCCTCCACTGGCTTTGCCCTACAACCACGGTATCGGGCAAATTCCTAACGGCAGCCTATGAGACCCTGTGGGACCTGGCCCTGCGGTTTTCTCCCTCCCTCACCCCGCTGCAAACATGCTCGCCTCCCTGCCGTCCCTGCTACAGGACAAGATGCGTCCCCCTCAGGGCTTTGTACTTCCTGCTCCTTGGGCTTGGAATTCTCTGGTCATCACCTGGCCACTTCCCTCCCATTAGCCAAGACTCCCTTCAGAGGTCACTCCTCGGAGGGGCCTTCCCTGGCCACTTTGCCCACGCAGCTCCCGTCGCTCCCCACCACGTGGCCTAGCAGTACCTGGCGTTACCTGGTTTACTTTCTAGACTGTGTGTTTGCTGTTCATTACCCCCATGGACTGGCGGCTCCCGGAGATCAGGGGCGCACCTGAATCCCCGGGCCTGGAACCTGCTGGATGCTCTGTGTCCAGCAGGATTCTTCAGGAGAGCTACACATGAGGGCCTGAGCTGCCTTCTCCAGCTCAGGAGAGGCCAGGTTGGCTAACACCAGCCTGGTGGCCATTGAATGAGACCCACTGGGGTCTCAGGGCAGGAAGACTTGGGCTGGGCTGAAGAAGCTGGGAGGCCAGAAGGTGCCCATGTCCTGGGATCAGCTCAGGTCCTTGGGAGGCCCCTCATTACCAGCCTCCACCCTCCCCTCGCCTTAGGGACACATGCACCTCAGCCTGGGGTGGGCTGTAGGATTTTGTGCAAACCGCCCCCACCCCACCCCAGCCCCCTGCCACTTCCCAGACCTGATCCTGGAGGACATGGGCTTCTGACTCGAGGCCCTTTGTCCCCCTCCCCTGCCCACTCTCCGGGACTCCCTGGATCACTGTGTTTCCCCCACCCCCCAGCTTAAATACTATCCCAGTTGAGCCCCATTCCATTCTGGTTTCCTATCACCCAGATGCTCTTCTAGGCGGTGGCCAGGGCTTGCCAGGGCATCTGCCCGGGTACTCTCAACCCGGGGAGCCCACCCCGCCCCAAGCCCTCTGGAGAGAGCCCCCAAGCCCACCCCCCGCTTAAGACCCGAGGGCTCCAGACCAGAACTCTCTCCTGGGGAGGAAGCCCCCCCGGGTGCCCCGTGCGCGGCGCGGACTCACCTGCACTCCGCAGCCGCCGTGAGAGAGCAGCCACATCAGGCAGCTGAGGTGGCCGGTGGCGGCGGCGTCGTGGGCCGGCGTGGCGCCGTTGCGCGCGCTGGCCGCGGCGGGCAAACCGGCCTCCTCCACCAGGAAGCGCAGACAGTGCAGCTTGCCGGCGCGGGCCGCGTGGTGCACTGGCAGCGCGTCCAGCGGGTCGCGCAGCGAGGGCCCCAGCAGGCGGGCGGCGTGCAGGGACCTCAGCACGTCCAGGTCGCCCTGGCGCGCCGCCTGAAGCGTCTGCTCCAGGGCCATGGTGCCGCCCGCGGCGCCGCGACCCGGGCTCAGCGCGGCTCCCGGGGCGCCATGCGTCTGTCCTCGGGCACCGGGAGAGCCCGCGGCGCGACCGTCGGGGCCTGCGAGTGGGGAGGCGGAGCGGCTGCCGGCCCGGCCTCGGCCCCGCGCTGCCTCGCCCGCTCCGCTCCGCCTCCGCCGAGCTCTGGGGCTGGGGGCCCCCGCGGCGCCCAGCCTAAGCCTCGGGCCCGCCCCCCGCGCCGCCTCCGCCCGGCCCCGCCCGCCGCGGTCCGAGTCCCCCGCCCGCCCGCCAGCCGCAGCAGCGCCGAGGGCCGGACTCCGGTGACAGAGGCGGTGCGCCCAGGGACTTCTCTCCATATTTACCTCCGGTCAAAAAGCAGACCCCGGGACTTCCCTTGGTGGTCCAGTGGTCAAGAATCCGCGCCCCCAATGCATGGGGCGCGGGTTCGATCCCTACTCGGAGAACTAAGATCCTACAGGCCGCGCCGTGCAGCCAAAATATTTAAAAAGAAAAAAAGCAGACCCCGATGATCAGAGCCGTCCAGGCGCTGGGGGACACGAGCCAGCAAACGATGCCCGCGGTTCCAGAGAGTGACAAGTGTGATCAGAGCAGGAAAACGGGGACTTAGTAAGTTATAGGGGCTACGTGGGCAGTCGGGGAAAGGGGAGGTGCGGTGGGCTGGCTTTATTCAAAGGCGCGTAAGTAGGCGCATTCCAGGCGTGGGAGACTTCCAGGGCAAAGGCCGTGCGCTAGGAACAGGCCTAACAAGTCCCTCAGGGGCTCTGGGGCTCTGGGTCTATGCCCTGGCAGGTGACCATGGGTGCTGGGCGCTCAGCCCTCCTCGGTCCCTCCAGACCCCCAAGAACTGCCCACGTAGCCTCCCCGAGGCAGGGAGGGAGAGAAGGGGAAAAGGACAGTAATGCCTGGTGGGCTCTGGTTTCCAGATCTAGAGACCCTGGCCTCAGAGAGCACCCAGAGCTGCCACTGGCTGTCTGTCTGAGGTGGGGGAGTCAATCGTGAGCTTGAGGGCCCGGGGCTGCCGAATGGAGAGAGACGGGAAAGCAAGGGCTGGGGGGCAATGAGGAGGTGCGCCAGAGCAGTTGCCCGGAGAGCAGGGCCAGGACCCCTCCCCAGGGGGGCAGGATGGCCCTGGGAGGGCAGCAGGCCAGGAGAGCACGCGTGCGCCAAACCACCCTGCCTGCTTGGCCGGAAGCCCTTCGTGGGAGCTGGAGGGAGGCACAGCAGGCTGGACAGGAGGAAGAACTGCTAGAAGATGGGGGCTGTGTAGCTGTGGGAGCACAGTCAGCACACCGGCAACTTTGAAACATCCTGTGCCCTTCCTCCCCGCCCTCCCCGTCACCCCCCACCTCCCCACTGAAGCCCCTTGAGGGCTGTGCACTGGGCTATTTCACCCAGCGGGTAGCGGGACAGGCACAGGATGGTGCTGGAAATGCCTTAGAGGGAAGCGCCTTCCAGGAACAGTGGGAATCCAAGTCCCTGGGACCAACACCAGGTGGCGCCACGTGCAATGGGCTCCAGCGCTCCATGGCACCCTCCTAAACTGGAGCCTCTGGGCCTGAGTGGCCAGGTGGGTTTCCAGCCACTTTCACCACGCCAGACCTGCCTCACTCTCCCATGGGACCTATGACAGCTGGGGTCTGGGACCCCTACCCAAGGGGACAAGGGGAGGGAGGCGTCTTATCCTGTCAGCCTCAGTGCTTCGACTGGCTCTTGGTGCCTGCCAGAGCCGCCCTCCTCTAGCCCACCGAGCGGAGCTGTACCCTGAGGCCTGCGAGTGGCAGGGGTGCTTTGATGACAAAGAGCTAAATGGCTTATCTTGAGGGCCCCTCCCTTGTGCTTCCTCCATGGGAAAAAAAAAAAAAAATCCCTGCACTCCCATGTTGGCTCCCCTGGTCCTGGATACCCTCAACTATCACATGGTTTTGTCATTTTGGGGTCCAGATCAGGGTGGTGTGCTGCTGCTATGGCATTGGGCAAGGCAGGAGAGACAACCCTGAGCCGCTCCCGCTGCCGATAGGGACATCTCCATAAAAGTCACGTGTGAGCACTCATCCTTGCTGCCCATCTTGTCAGACTCCTTTCTGAGGATGCCACTCAAAGTCAGGCTGAGATCCAGGCCATCTCTGTCCTTTCTGGGCTGCACTGGGTCCACGGGGTCCTGCTCAGTATCTCTAGCAAACCCATGCCAGCAAGAACATATTTTTGGAAGCCCTACTGCTTACCAGGCACCATGCCAGGCTTCACCTGCGTATTTAGCCCCATAGGGATGCTATGAGAGAGGTACAACACTACACCCATTTTACAGCTGGGGAAACTGAGGCACGGGGAGGTTTTTTTTTTTTTTTTTTTTTTTTTTTAAATTTGTTTGTTTGGTTTTGTTTCCTTTGCTGTGCAAAAGCTTTTAAGTTTAATCAGATCCCATTTGTTTATTTTTTGTTTTTATTTTCATTACTCTAGGGGGTGCATCAAAAAAATCTTGCTGTGCTTTATGTCAGAGGGTGCTCTGCTGATGTTTTCCTCTTAGAGTTTTATAGTATCCAGTCTTACATTTAGGTCTTTAACCCATTTTGAGCTTATCTTTGTGTATGGTGTTAGAGAATGTTCTAATTTCATTCTTTTACATTGTTTGGTTTGGTTTTTTAATGTATCTTGTCCACAGTGGCACAAATAGAAAGGGGCAAGGCTCAGGGGCTCACACTCACAGAGGCTGACCCTGCTGTGCCCTTCTTCCCTCTGCACCTGAAGTTCCCCCTTCCCAGAGCACCCACAATGTCTCCCACACTCCAGATGGCAGTTGAGGGGCTCCCTCCCCCACCAGGAGGCTTCCTCTCATTCTTCTGCTGGGATCAGGCCATCTGCCCACCTGTTGTGTGGAAAACACCTGTTCAGACCTCTCCCCCCACCCAAGAGCAGGCACCCAGGTGGAGTGTGTCCCCACTGTACCCTAAGTGGTTCCAGCTTCCCTAAAACCTGCACCCCCATACCCTGTCCACTCGGTTGTCTTACCTAAGTTCCCCTGGTTATAAACAACTCCTTCCTCCAGGTAACCAGCAAAACCCCCAGAATCCTTTGGTTGAAGGGAACAGCAATAGGAGAAGACAGGAGAGACTTAAAATCTGGGGTAACTGAAAATGGAGTCTGCTTCCCGACCCTCCAGTCTTCAAACCGCGGTCCACAGGCATGGAGGGGGTTGTTCTAGAAAGAACCTTCCTCCCCAGGAGCTAGTTTCAGGATATCTCAGCAAGAATGCAGATGTTGGTGCAGGGGGGCCTGTCGGCACAGAGCTGAGTGAGCCAGTGTGTGTGGCCAGGGGTGGCACGTGGGGCATCAGTTAAGGATCCATGAAGTCCTTTTCTTGAGCCCCTAAAGAATAATTAATGAGGGAATTCTATGGTGGTTCAGTGGTTAGGACTCCGCGCTTTCACTGCCAAGTACACGGGCTCAGTCCCTAGTCGGGGAACTAAGATCCCAAGCCAGGCCGTGTGGCCAACGAGAGAGGGAGAGAGAGAGAGAGAGAGAGAGGGAGAACATTTAATAACCTTGGAGGCCGGCCCATAGGTACCCTGAGCTCAACGATTCAATTTGAGAAGACGGTAGCTCAGGCATGCCCAGGCCCTGCTCCGCTAGATGTGTTGACTTATTCTCATAGTTAGGACTGTGAGGGGGATAATGGAAAGGAGGGCCAAAAGGCGCTTGACATACAGCATGTGCTCTATAAGTCGTGGCCAGTCAGGTACGGGTGGCGTGAGCTCCCACTCGCCCGGATGCTCCAGACTCCTTCCTGATGGGCGCGCTGGTCTTCTCAAGCCCTGCTTGGGGAGCACGCGGCCGAGGGGACTTAGGCGGAGCGTCGAAGGTGGGGCGCGGAGATGGGGTTTGCGCGGCGGAGGGGAGGGGCCCCGTCCAGCACCCAGGACAGCGCCGGTAGGCTCCGCCCTGTGGTTCCTCCTCCCGGCCCGGCTAGGTGGGTCCAGCCCGCCATCCGCCCGCGGGTCGGCCCGGCAGTCCGCCGTGCTGGCCGTTGCCCGGCCAGCCGGTTGACGGAGGGCAGTCCCGAGCAGATGGGCGGGGGACGCCCAGCCAGTTTGCGGCAGCACCGGCTACGCGGCGAGGAGGCGGGCCCGGGGGGAGGAGATGGGCAGCAAAGAGCTGGCACCCAGGACTGCCCCGCCCCGCCCGTCACGTGAGCTCCGCCGGTCCTGTAGGTGGGAGCCCGGAGCTGAAGCCAGTGAAATGAAAATGAGTTCCGGGCGCTCCTGGGTTGCCTCGTTTGCTCTGGGCCTCAGTTTCCCCGTTCAAAACCGAGGACAGGGGAACCGGGTGGTCCCTAACTCGGTGAGGGCCGGAGAATTCTATGGAGCCACCGGGGCCCTAGCTCTGCCTGGCCAGTTTCCAGCTGTTAGAGCCGGAGCAAGTTGAGGTCTCTTTCCGGGCCTCAGTCTCCCCTTACAGCCCCGCAGAACAACTGGTGGGCCGAGTCCCTCCCCATAGTAGAAACCCAAGTGGTAGCTCCCTGAGGCCCGGGACTTGGGGGTCCCGCCGCCGCTGGGTAACCTGCCCAAGCCCAGGGCGGGGCTCAGAGGAGGCGCTGATCCCGAATGAGGGAAGAAGGGTGGCGCTGGACAAGAAGGGACAAGGGCCTGGCGCCACCCGCTCACCTCCTGCCCGAGGGTCAGGGCAGCGAGGGCTTCGATGGCGCCCACACACACCCCTGCAGGTGCTCTGGGAGGAGGGCGCCCCGGACTCGCAGCAGATGGGACTCGAAGGCCGGGAGCGGGAACCCGGGGCCTCGGCCGTCCCCCCTTCCGCCCCAACCCCGCGCAGGAACAAAGGCGGAGGTGGGACCCACAGACGGCCTGGCTCCGCGGGGCGGGACGGGGCGGAGCGGGCGCGCTGCCTCCTTAAAGCCAGGCTGCGGGCGTGGCGCGCGCTCCACTGGCGCCCGCTCCAGCCGCGCACCAGACCTCTCCGCGGACCTCGGTCTGCGCTCGGTGTCTGGGTGGGCACAAGTCTCCCACGCGCGGGCCCGGCAGCTGCGCCGCTTTCCCGCCGAGCATGGGGCTGCCTCGGAGGGCAGGGGACCCGGCGGAGCAGCGCAAGGTAGGAGCTGGGGCCTGGCGGCTGGGGGCAGAGCGGCGGGGGCAGGGGCCTGGACGGCGACCCTCGTAACCGCGGCCTTCGCGCTCGCCTGCAGAGCCTGAAGCCACTGCTGGAGAAGCGCCGCCGCGCGCGCATCAACGAGAGCCTGAGCCAGCTCAAGGGCCTCATCCTGTCGCTGCTGGGCAGGGAGGTGAGTGCCGGGGCGCTCGGGTACAGGCCGGCCGCACTGGGGCTAGGGCTAGGGGGCTCCCGGGGCGCGGGGCGAGGAGGCCGGGCAGGCCGAGATGCCCTTGCCGGAGAAGCCGACGAGCGGACAGCGCGCGGCGCCCAGGGCTGAGCCCGGGTCGGACAGGCTCGGCGGAGCTGACCCGCCGCGGGCTACGCCAGGCCCGGCACCAGCTCCTGGGAGCGCGGTACTCACGGCAGCCTGCCGGAGCTCTGTCTTGTTTGTCCCTTTCTCTGTCCCTCTCCTTCGTGGCCGGGCGCAGAGTTCCCGCTTCTCGAAGCTGGAGAAAGCGGACATCCTGGAAATGACGGTGCGCTTCCTGCAGGAGCTGCCTGCGTCCTCCTGCCCGACGGCAGCGCCCAGTGAGTGACCCTGCCCCGCCCCGGCCCGGCTCCGCGCCCCCACTCCACCCCGCGCCTCACGCCGCTCTCCGTCCGCAGCGCCCTCCGACAGCTACCGCGAGGGCTACCGAGCCTGCCTGGCGCGCCTGGCCCGCGTGCTACACACCCGCCGCGTCCTAGAGCTCACCGTGAGCGCTCGCCTGCTGGAGCACTTGCGCCGGAGGGCGGCCAGCGCCACCCGCGACGGCGAGCACGCGGGGGACTCCTGCGGCCCGCCCGCGCCCTCGCCACCTGCGCCTCCTCGGGACCCAGGCCTCTGGCGGCCCTGGTAGTCCCCTGGCCGGTCCACGGGACCCTGCTGACAGCGTGGGACCAGGAATGCTGGACAGACTGAGGAAGCTCTTGGTGGCAGCTTTCCTTCCCACCACGAGGGACCAGCCTGGTACCTACAACCTGGCCAGACCCGCATGTTTGTGAGCTGTGTGGCAGACTGACCTCCATGGAGGCTCAGGAAATAAGAGGAGAGGCCCACTCTCAGCCCCAACTTGGGATGTCTGGGCTAGAGGTGAAGGGGCAGGTGGCTGCAGGGGGAAGAAAAAGCCTCCCACCCCAGCTGGTGGAGGGGCTCTAGAGCTGGGCCAGCCACTGCTGCCTGGGCAGCGCACACGCCTGCCCCAGCGCTGGCACCAGCCCAAGGGCTGCGCCAGGAGCTCACCTGAGCCAGGTGCAGCAATCTGCTCTGACTGGTCACCACCCTCCCAGCCCTGCTTGAACCTGCCTTCTCGCCAGCTCAGCTTGGTAACCTCTGGGCACACAGCAGCAATGGCCTGAGGGGCTTTGAAGGCTGGGGAGCCATGACCTCCACTCCTGGGCTCCCTGCCTAAAGCTTCCAATTATAGTGACAGGATGCAGCCAGGGCTCTGTGTCCCTGGGGGTGGGGGCAAGGATGAGGGTGCCCTGTGGCCTCAAGGAAGCTTGCCACCTTGAAGGGCCCAGGTCCAGCATAGAGCTGGTGCCAGTGTGAGGTGAGCAGATCCCATGTCCTGGAGCAGCAGAAATTCAAGGGGTGACACGGCACGTTAAGGAACAGGAATCCACCTTTCTCATTTTCTCTTTTGAACTGCTCTCTGCTACTGTCAGGACAGATAACTGGAAGCAACTTGTTCTTAAGACTTTTCTTTCTTCCCCATGGAAGCCAGAGAGGCCTTCAAAGGTCCAGTGGTGGTGGTGGTGGGGTGCTGTGGATCCCAGCAGTGGTGGGGTGCTGTGGATCCCAGGAGAAGGCCGGAGCATCTGTGGCCCACTCTCAGTCGTGTTCCCAGCATCTTGTGGGGATTCGCTGAGCATTTGTGGGAAATCGCGAGTCCTCCCCCCGGTCCCCGGTCCAACAGCCTGTGCACTAGGACCAGGGCACTTAGAGGCAAGAAGATAGAGCTGATGGGGGGGGGGCACTAAATTGAGCTAATGCCACATAAACCCATGATGACCACGGCACTGATTCTGGTGGCAGGATGTGGGGAAGCGGTGGGCATTGC